ATCTATCTATCTATCTATCTATCTATCTATCTATCTATCTATCTATCAATCAAAGAGTTGGCTGACCAAGAACAGCTTCTCTTTTTATTACTGATAAGAAAAAACTGATTTCTCCCCACCCTTCCTATGTTATACAGTAAAAAAAAAAATGATTGCAGTGAAACCAACCATCCCACCCTCTCATCCAGCCTAAGGAGCCGCTCTTCCCACTTCCAATGACTACAAATATTTTTATATTTTGGTGTCCCGGTCTCTCTCACACACAACCCTCCCCAGAATGTTCCTCTGCTTACATCAGAAGCATCTTGAAACTCCCGCAGCAGGCTTCTAGTTGGTCGAGATTGGGTGGACCTAAAGCTTTTTTTTTTTTTAAAGACACACAAAGAGAAAAGATTTGTGCAGGTGAGAATTCACTCCGCTCTAAGAGGTTGCTGAATTTGTGCCATCGCTTCTGAAGCCTGGTTTTTCCATATGATGGTATGATGGTAACCAAAAAATCCGAAACACTCACCAGAAAGCATTGGGGCCAGAATGACACTCTGCCAGGCTCGGCTGTAATTTGAGATCTGCAGAATGTTAAAAAGCATCTTAAAATTCCAGAGAGAATGAAACTGAAGCAATCAGTGGATTGTGAAACATGAAAACCCTTTTCTGTTGGCAAATTTATCATTATTTCATTCACATAAGAAATTAAAAAGACTATGTGCTTAACATGGTAGAAATTTACGCACCGGCCATAAGGAATAAATGCCAGAGATCTCCACTAAAACTTTCCTCAAATAATGGACCTGAAATGCGATAGAGTAAAACACATGAATAGTATCTTATTGAGCACAATGACAACAACCTGAGTTGTTTTGCCCTTTACATAATATTTGGGCTGATAGGCAAGAGTGGACAGGGACAAGTCAAAAATTAACCGAGGTTTGATTGCTGCAATCCTACAGGCAAATCTCCCCAACTTGCAATCAGTAAAAGAACTTGGTGCTGATAAGTTTTTGCGGTTTAGAAATAACACAGTGCAAAAAAAAAGGAAACAGGATTAAGACAGAAAAGGAGAATGTTCTTAACATTAGAAGGGTCTCAAAAATAACTTACAATAACTAGCGAATAGTTCTAAGGGAGAAAATGCTGGTTACTTTTAACCTTTCTCAGCTAAGCAGATAACAAAAATTCTCTGTAAATAAACTTTTTCCTTAAAAAAACCCACCCACGTCCACTTATCTTAATGGTTTTTTTTTTTTTACCCCCCCCCCCCCCCCAAACCAGAATTAAGCAAATGTAACTAACAACCTTTGCAGGCATAGATACAGCTTTTTTTCCTCTCTCATTTTGTAGTCCTAAACAGTCCTCGATATTTCTTAGTGCTCCATAATTCATCACGCAGAAAAAGGCCGGGCCTTACCATTTTGAACCCCATTAGCTTCTGTAGCAAACCGTTCCAGAGCAGAGGATCATGTACTTTGTAATTCAAGGAAAGCTGAGCCACCAGTTTCACTGCCTGAAAGTGGAAGTTTTTGTGGGAAAGCGCAGGGTTGGATGCCCATTCTGCACCTCTTGTTTCTCAACCTTAAGCCAGTTTCAGCCCTGTGGACTTCAACTCCCAGCATTCCCCAGCCTGTGGCATCACCTTGGGTTCGTGGCTGTGGTTCTTCCATAGCCCTTTAACCATGCCCTCCTTTGATGTCCTGTGGAAGGACTCGTAGGTGTAAGGAATGTTCAAAGCTTCCAGCTGTGCCAGGTAAATGAAGCATTTCAGGAAGTTCCTGTTAGGAAGCAGAAAAATGGAACGTGGCAGGTATGGTGAGAGTGGTTTATGAGAGACTCTTACCTTAGCCCAGGGGTCCCCAAACCTGGCAACTTTAAGACTTGTGGACTGCAATTCCCAGAATTCCTATGCTGGCTGGACGATTCTGGGAGTTAAAAGTTGCCAAGTTTGGAGACCTCTGCTGTACAGCCTCATACTAAATAAGTAAGCT